TTTTTTTTTTTTTTTTTTTTTAGCTTAGCTTTGCACCACTTTTCTTTGTTGTTGCATTGTTGTCAGCAATTTAAGCAGACATTTGAAACAGACAATACTGGGTGATTGCTGAAGAAGATGTGGAGTAATACCACAGAGGCAACGAGTATCGTCGTTAAATTATCTTCAGCTCTTCTTGTTCATCTTTCTTTTCTTTCTTTTTCTTTTTTTTTCTTTTCAAACACTTTTCCCTGGTTTAGAATGTCCCTTTTTTACCATTTACTATTAAAACCACTTAAAACATTGGCCTATATGAAAAAAAAAAAAAGAAAACAAAGGATGAAGTTGTGCCAGCACTTTTTTATACTTTTACAGTGTTTAACAGTTCTAAAAGTTTAAAGTTTTTAAGAAGTTTTAAAAACCGTACTAAATTAGTTTTGATCTCTTTCCTTTTTTTTTTTTCTTAATTTTTACTTCTTTTAATTTATGTTTGTTACACTTTATTGAATTATGCTTTATACCTGTGTTAACAACTGTGGAACATTCTTCTTTGTTTTTTTGTTTTCTGGAGGAAGGTGGGGGGGGGGGGTTGTATTTACTTTACAACATTTTTGTTAAGTTGAAGTTTTTTGTCCTCAGCTAATTGTACAAACTAAAACAACAGGAAAAGACGTTTATGGTGTTCGACGTGTTCTAAAGTAAATAAATGATTGTAAAATTGAATTGAATTGTTATTTTTTGCTGCTTTAATCGCTGAAATTTAATAAACTGTTTTAAAAAGGTATCCTTTATAAAGGGAAAACCAAAAAAAAAAAAGAAAAAAAAAGACGGAAAAAAAAGGAAACAATCTCGTGACAACGTTCAGTACTCATCGTAATGTCAGTTTCATCGGAAATGGAATCGGATTTGCTATCAAAGGTTCAAACACCAGTGGCAGATTATGAGAAAGATTTACTTACGGACGGCCCAATAGCTACCGGTTATGAAAATTATGTGAGAAACTGTTTTCGGTCTGGTGCTAAGCTACCGTCTACGTTAACTGCTGCTGATCAAGGTGTTAGTGCAACAAGAATGCTTAAGATGCAAGAAAGTTTTGGTCCATCAGCTCTTGATGATACATGTAGGATTTATTTAATTGTCAATTTATCTTCAACAAATCATTATTTTCTTCTAATTAATCAGTCGTATTTTTATCACAAAATTCTGTTTCTTCAATAAAACAACATTTATGATAAGTGGTGAAACAATTAAAGTAAATGCTTACTTGTAAACTATTACTACTCATAAAAGTTTTGTTGTTGAAAAATATAAAATTTTTTTATTTCTAACTAATATTTTTGTTGCTTAATTTTTGAAAAAAAAAAAAAAAAAAGAAGTTTAAAGTTTGGATAATAGTGCAGTTGAAAGATTTAGTGAAAACATATAACTGCTTAACAGTTCATTATAGTGAATATCAGTTTACAGACAATAAATATCTTTTTTTCACTGACTAATTGTCGTCATCTCCAAAAGATGTTTAAACTGATAAGGATAAATTAAATGACTGAAAATTTTTGCTAATACTTATAATAAGTTTGTTTAATGAAATTGATAGTAAATTAATAAACAGAAGACAATAATTTTTTTTTTTTTTTGGTTATAGATGACGATGAAATATTAAAAGATCCACTGGAAGCATTGTATGCCGAAATGGGTTTAAGTAATCTTAGTGGTACACCCAGAAGCAGTAGCAGCAGTTATCGGCATTTTCCGGTCTATACACCAAAGCAGTCAAGCGAATATTATTCAGCGTTATATAGCCGAGGAAAAGTTGATGACAATAGTTCACTTTATCCCATACGAGTAGGTATAATCCTTCAATTTAGCTATTCTTTTTATTCTTCTTGTTCTTCTTCTTCTTGTTGTTTTTTTGCTGCTATTAATATACATTGAACATTTATAGAAACAAAAATTAAAGAACAAATAATTTTTATGTCCACTTTTCATCTGTTAAAAAACAACAGCCTTTTTTAAAAGTTGTATTTTTTTTTTTTTGAGAACAATGAGCACAAAAAGGTGAAGGAGTAAACTACAAAGAAAAAAAAAAACTTTTTGATCAGTTCTATTTTTGTTGCTTTTTGATATCAGCAAATACAATCAGATTGCTAACTGTGATCAAAATAGGGTTTAGGAATTTGTCAAATAAAAAAATTAAACAA